ACTTAAATGATTTTAGTGGCTGCAATATAACAAAGAGTGAAAAATTTAAGGGGGTCTGAATACTTTCCGTACCCACTGTATATATATATATATGAAATCTTAATACATTTCAGAATTCTGAAGAATTATTTTTCTGACACTTACACTGAAAACTAGAGTAATGGGTACTGAAAATTCAACGTTTTCATCACAGAAATAAATTGTATTCTAATACACTGAACAAAATTATGAACGCAACACTTTTGTTTTTGCCCCCATTTTTCATGAGCTGAACTCAAAGATCTAAGACTTTTTCTATGTACACAAAAGGCCTATTTCTCTCAAATATTGTTCACAAATCTGTCTAAATCTGTGTTAGTGAGCACTTCTCCTTTGCCGAGATAATCCATCCACCTCACAGGTGTGGCATATCAAGATGCTGATTTGACAGCATGATTATTGCACAGGTGTGCCTTAGGCTGGCCACAATAAAAGGCCACTCTAAAATGTGCAGTTTTACTGTATTGGGGGGTCCAAAAACCAGTCAGTATCTGGTGTGACCACCATTTGCCTCACGCAGTGCAACACATCTCCTTCGCATAGAGTTGATCAGGTTGTTGATTGTGGCCTGTGGAATGTTGGTCCACTCCTCTTCAATGGCTGTGCGAAGTTGCTGGATATTGGCAGGAACTGGAACACGCTGTCGTATACGCCGATCCAGAGCATCCCAAACATGCTCAATGGGTGACATGTCCGGTGAGAGTGCTGGCCATGCAAGAACTAGGATGTTTACAGCTTCCAGGAATTGTGTACATATCCTTGCAACATGGGGCCGTGCATTATCATGCTGCAACATGAGGTGATGGTCGTGGATGAATGGCACAACAATGGGCCTCAGGATCTCGTCACGGTATCTCTGTGCATTCAAAATGCCATCAATAAAATGCACCTGTGTTCGTTGTCCATAACATACGCCTGCCCATACCATAACCCCACCGCCACCATGGGCCACTCGATCCACAACGTTGACATCAGCAAACCGCTCACCCACACGACGCCATACACGCTGTCTGCCATCTGCCCTGTAGAGTGAAAACCGGGATTCATCCGTGAAGAGAACACCTCTCCAAAGTGCCAGACGCCATCGAATGTGAGCATTTGCCCACTCATGTTGGTTACGATGACGAACTGCAGTCAGGTCGAGACCCCGATAAGGTCGGCAAAGGAGAATTGCTCACTAACACAGATTTAGACAGATTTGTGAACAATATCTGAGAGAAATAGGCCTTTTGTGTACATAGAAAAAGTCTTAGATCTTTGAGTTCAGCTCATGAAAAATGGGGGAAAAAACAAAAGTGTTGCGTTTATAATTTTGTTCAGTGTATATTATAGTAGAAAACAGTTATTTTAAATTGTAATAATATTTCACAATATTACTGTTTTTTTAAATATTTTTGATAAAATAAATGCAACCTTATATAAAATAAACAATATAAAAAATAAAGATGTGAGCATAAGAGAATTTTTTTTTTTCAAAAACATGCAAATAAATAAATAACAAACTTTTGACTATTAGCTAGTGTTATGAACACCTTCAATAAGTGTGTCAGAATATGGAATTGTGAAGAATATGGTAAATACAATTAGAAAATTCCAGAATAGAATAGATGCTGTTTTACCTCACCAGTCAACAGTAGAACAGTTAGTCAAGTTCTCTCCCATAACATGGCATTTATACAATATCTCCACAATGTTTTTTTGTTTCCTTAGGTTGACCCATGCAAACCTTTTGTTGACTGCGAAGGATTGTCCTGAAAAGGTGAAAGGGACTTGCAGGGTTACTTCCGTGACGATAATGTGCTTAACAACTAGCTCTACTTGGCACAGTTCAGAACGGATGGCTCAGCTAATCGGCAGGACTGTGTGCAGCAGGACTGTGCCAAATCCACTGGTAGAGTGTTATTCCAGTTCCTCAATGCTTCAAGCCCCTTTCACACCATGATGTGAAATCTGTTCATTCACTAAAGCGTTTTGAAAACTTTCTTAAAAAATGGACTTGATAACCATTTGACGTGTCAGGTTTTTAGTTGGGGATGTCTCAGGTAAAACTGATTCATTTCCTCAAAGAGGATTAGTCTGAGGCAGATTAGCCTGGCTATCGCTCTTAATGCTAAAACTATAGTGAGCATATGGGTGTTTGCTAACCACCTGTCTGCCTACTGAGGGGACATCAGTTGGACAGTCGCAGACATAGAGAAAGAAGTCTGGAATGATTGGGCTGGATGTCTTTCTGTATCCAGATGGTCTTAGGGTTGCTACACCAGAAGATACAGAGAAGTGGGAATCCGAGAGAGATATGTTTGAACCAAATATTCGTCTCTTTGTGGCTCTGTTCTCATACAACCCTGCGGTGATGTCACCAAACCCTGAAACAATGGAGGAGGAACTGCCTTTTGAACAAGGACAGATCATTAAAGTAAAGATATTTATTTTTGGGATCTTCTCGTATCCTGATTAAATATTATTCGGAACTCCATAATAAGTTAAATTTAACTTTCGCATCTTACATGAACCTACTAAATGCATGAAACGCATGATCTTTAGATCATTTCTGTCCTACTTGGCTCATGCTGTGATGTGCTCTTTTGTAGGTATATGGAGATAAAGATGCTGACGGCTTCTATAGCGGAGAGACGGATGGACACTTCGGTTTTGTGCCGAGCAACATGGTTTCTGAGATTCCTGTGGAAGACGTAGAGCTCAAACTCCGTCTGTTCCAGCAGGGGTTTTTACCAGAGGAGACGCCTTCCATAGGCAAGCATTTACATTGATATCTCTTTCTGTTTGTTTGATTAACCTAGCCATATATTTAAAGGGGTCATATGATGCTATTTAAATTTTTCCTTTCTCTTTGGAGTGTTACAAGCTATTGGTGCATAAAGAAGATCTGTAAAGTTGCAAAGACTAAAGTCTCAAATCCAAAGAGATATTCTTTATAAAAGTTAAAACTTGTCCAAACCCTCCTAAAACGCCTCGTTTAAACACGCCCCCACATGTCTACGTCACTGTGTGGGAAGATTTACATAATACTGCCCAAATGTTGACGCAAAGAAAGGCATAACTTTTATTCTCGCTGTTGTATTGTTGCTGCCGCCATGTCGTGAAGGCACTGTGTTTCATTGTGAAAGCAAAACTACTTTGTTTGGCCTTCCACAAGAGGATGATATCCGCTTCGTCATGTCTAGAGCTGATCGTTTGTAATGGGTTTTAATGTTTTTGTCTCGTTGTGCCGGGACACATGGAAACACAGTATGGTAAGGGTCGTAACATTTCCGTCACATGCTTGAGGTATTCGGCCAATCACAACACACTGGATAGCTGGCCAATCACAGCACACCTCGCTTTTTCAGACCAATGAACTTTGTACTTTTAATTTTAGCACCCAGCGAAACATCTAGTGTGCCGGATGGTGTGAAGGTCCACAGGATGGTGGCCATTTTTGATTATGACCCATGGGAAAGTTCTCCAAACATGGATATTGAGGTTATTGCTTTTTCCAATAAATACAAAATACAAAAAATCCTTTTTGTTAATTGACAGCATATTATAATATAATACAAGCAATATATTATCTATCTATCTATCTATCTATCTATCTATCTATCTATCTATCTATCTATCTATCTATCTATCTATCTATCTATCTATCTATCTGTCTATTCATTCATTCATTCATTCATTTATTCATTCACTCACACATCTTAGATATGTATTGATTTATTGATAGCTAGTTGCTTGAACTAGCCTATTAGACTATTAAATACATATACAATAATTTAATTTTAAAATATCAAATCGAATTTTAAATCTGTGTGTTTTGGTTGTTTTCTTCTTTAGGATGAGCTTCCCTTTCGTGCAGGAGACATTATATATGTTTTTGGAGAAATGGACAGTGATGGATTTTATTATGTAAGTATTAGGACTCTGTTTACCACGCATGCGTTTTTGTAAAGGTCGTAAGTTAAAGAATGACTGTTTTATATTGATCCAGGGAGATCTACATGGTTACCGAGGTCTTGTGCCATCAAACTTTTTGCAAGCCCTGCCTTGGGACTAAAAGAACTGAGCAGTCAGAAATCAGGAACAGGAGAGTGACCTCCGATTGTGAATAGAACCCACTTTACAGAATCCAACTCCAGCTTTTTTTTTTTTACATATAACGTGTCTTGTTTCCTGTAATGTGCATGACGTATCATGTCTCTAAATGCACTTGACCTTTCCACTATGCTTAGCATCAATTGAATACATAAAAGGAAATTAATTTCCGATTTATACAAGAGCTTTTGATAGCAGCTAGTGCATTATAGCCTTAAAGGACAATAATGGTAATTTAAGAATTATTGTTTTATATTGTTTTATGTGTCTTCTTTTCAATACTGAGCTATTTTTGTAATGTCCTTTCTGTACACAGCAACTGCACTGGTGTTAGTTTAACAACAGACTATATGTACACACTTACACATTTCACCTTCATTTTATTACTGTTTCATGAATTCAAAGTTGTTTGATACAAGTTAACATGCACATATAAAGACAAATGCACTCAAAACATTATTGCATTGCAATCAGTCTTGAAACACCATCTTTATTCATATTTAATAAACAAGACAATCAGATTCAGCATCGTTTGGTTCTCCATAAGATCGATCCTTCGCAGCAAACAGTACACTCATCCATAAAGTAGGAAACACTACACTGTGTAGAGACCTTTAGTAGTGCTGTCTACTTTATGAGTGACTGCACTGATGTTCCCGCCTCTTCTCTTCGCGCTCCAATCCTTTCTTTGCACGCTTCCTCTTATCTCCATGTGCTCCGAATGTTAATTTTACAGCTATCTGTTAAACCTAAAATGAAAATTAGATTAAAATGATGTAGTTGAATAAGTCGGATCATGTTTTAATATGGTTGGATGTTCAGCTGCATCAGCTTCAATTGTTCATAGTGAGTCACTGTACATCATAAGGAAGTTTAGAATCATTATTTTTTGCCTGTGCTGTAGTTAAAAGTTAAATATTACATGTGTAATTAACTAATCTAAAAAAAAAAAAAAGCAATGTATAATGCCTCCACTTTTGCTGCTTTGTATAAAAAGTGCAAGTGAAATGGATTCAGTGTGAACCATTGGAATTGACTATTAAAGCTTGATCTAGTTAAAAAAAAAAGAATTGATGTTTTAATAAAAAATTGAGTGTATTCACTTTTGTTAATGATTAACTTCTATTAGTAAGTTCAAGCAAATTCACCTAATTACATTCACTTACATCAAGCAGTTTACCACCCTTTATCATTTAACCAAGTTCATAAAACCAGAAAAATAGTCACATTTATCCAATGTTTTAGATTAAACTGAAGAGCAGTGACTTACCAGTTCTCTGCCTGCTTGATCCCGGAAACAACAGCGAAAAGAGAAAGAAGTTGTCGCCTTTTAACACTTTTTAGGCCACATGGTGCAAACCACAGGAAGAGGCCCTGCAGTCGCTGTCTTAAAGAAGCACAAATGCACGCCTATTGGACTACAGTGAGTTTCGTTCGAAGACGGACTCCAATCAATTCCTTTTAAGGGCATTTTAACCGATAAAAGACAGATCAGAAATGAGAGAAAAAGCACTTGGTCATTAGCATACATAAAAATCACACAAAGAAATAAAGAGGAAGTCTAGTAAACATGTGATCAGATTGCATCAGGCTTCCACATAGTCTGACTGCCTGGCTTTAAAAACATGCTATTCCGTCATTTTAAAAACAGCGGTGCTGGTCGGTGAGAAAATATCATCGGTGGAAGATGTTACACTTGTTTTGTGTGTGTTTTTATGAATAGCTTCCTATTAACTTGAATATAATCTTGTTGGCGGCACTTGTAGTGCTCTTTCCTGAGGGGGAGGGGTGGTTGCTATGTTGTACAAAACCACACTGTTTCATCAGCATATTACATATAATTTGAGTCCAATATGAGGGTGTGGTATTGTGTCATATAAATGTACGACGAGTGTAATTCAAAATCATGGCTTGCTAATTGTACATTAAGATGCTGATAAGTAAAACAGTTATAGATCGTTTGAAATATTATGTGCATAACCTGAAGTGAGATTAGCGAATACAATGTCGCATCAGACACTCTTTCTTCTGTGTCACTTTCCTCCGATGCTTGAATTAAACACTTTAGTCCCAGTCTCCCCTGAGTGCGTGGTAGTTTGATAAACAGGAGGCCGCTCTCTTATTCTCCTGAACATGATGTACAGGAGATGGACTTGTTGTGTAGACAACCCAAACCTCAAACTCTCGTTTGACACGTACAGAAGGAAGTGGGGGATGTGCAGACACTTCTCTGTGATGTACAATGATGTACCTAGTGTTGTAAAAAAAAAAAAAACTAGTCAAACATGATTTAGGACATCCCATGATATGTAACTGGGTGATTATTCAAATATTGGCAGTTTTAGCGCTGGTGAAGTTTAGAAAGTAAACATACTTTTTTCTTTTTTTTTTTCTCTCGTTTGACACGTACAGAAGGAAGTGGGGGATGTGCAGACACTTCTCTGTGATGTACAATGATGTACCTAGTGTTGTAAAAAAAAAAAAAAACTAGTCAAACATGATTTAGGACATCCCATGATATGTAACTGGGTGATTATTCAAATATTGGCAGTTTTAGCGCTGGTGAAGTTTAGAAAGTAAACATACTTTTTTTTTTTTTTTTAACATTTTCACGAGTTTATTTAATTTGTCTAATAATAATGTCCAACTGTGTGTATATACATGAACCACAGGATAATTCTGTCTTTATTTTAGTTTAGTTTAGTTTATAGTTTAGTTTAATCATGATCATTTCCTCTGTGTCATTTCCAGCTCATCTCATGTATTATGTTCAATAGTGTTCTTAACGACTGAAAAACATTTTCTAACATTTTTGGCGCAAAATGGCCTTTTTCCTGCTTGCTAATTTCATGGCTGGCAGTTCACAGTAACACTTTAGTATAGGGACCAGTTCTCGCTATTAACTAGTTGCTTATTAGCATGCCTATTACTGCTTATTCTGCATGACCGTGTTCTACATCCCTTATCCTACCCAATACCTAAACTTAACTACCTTGCTAACTATTAATGAGCAGCAAATTAGGAGTTTATTGAGGCAAAAGTCGTAGTAATTTTTTTTTTGAAATATAGTAATTCATATTTTTTTTACTAATAAATCATATAATATTTTATGATTGCACATTTGTGTCTGTGCCAAGGGTAAAACAATCAAATCTACACATAAAAGGTATGCAAACATAGTTAATAGATGCCTAAACTAGGGCCCGCGGGCCAAAGTTGGCCCAAGATGACCTTTGCTTTGGCTCTCCTCGCCATATTATGCCATAAAAATAGGAGGGACAATACCATCTTCATTTATAATTTCTCTTTGTGTTTTAGCACTTTTTGTTTTATTTTTGCTTTGAACTTTAGAGAATATACCGCAAGTGAATTCGATTTTTCATAATGCAAAGTTTGGGCACCTCAGTGAAAGTGGCATGATTACAAGTTTAAGCCAGTTCATTTGTTATGTGTGACCTTCATATATCAAAAAGAAAAGAGTTGTCATTTGAAGATCTATCAGTTGTAATAAAAATCAATACCCGAGACATAAAAGTTCCTGAAGCTGAAAAAAAATCAATCACTTTATTTCAAAACATTTGCAGCAGCTTGCATATCCAGCATGTGTGTGTGATACACTAACGTCGGAGCTTATGAAATCTGAAGGTTGCATCTAAAGGTCAAATCTAGAGGACATTGTTTGCCTCCCTTTTATCAGACACACAAATCACTCATTATGCAATCCACTGAGACCAATGGATCCATTATCAACTCCACCATGAACTTTATAGTGTTTTACAGCTGTTTCTGTGCTAACAACTGCGTCCTATAAAATGTATTCTCACTGTTCAAGCAAGAGTGGCTGAGGACATGCTTTCTACACCTATTTCTGTACAAAACAAGATTAAGTCCTGAAATAAGTGCCATGGTATAGATAGCGTCTTTTAACTAACTGCCTGAAACGATGGGTATTATCCAGACGGGTTTAAATTAGGGTTAATTCAATTATCATCTTTGCCTTTAGTTTGTAAGACAAGCTAAATGCCTTCATTGTAGCTGCATTTTATAGTCATTAAATACACATTTTTTTAATTTATGAAGATTCAGTCAAAGATTTCAGACATTTAAAATACAATCAACATCAATCAATAAATTGTCATTTAAGTTCCCATAAATGATGTTTGAACAGAAAACTTTTACATCACGATTAGCTTAATCTTTAGCCTACATCGCTGTTTGTTGCTGTATTTTAAATAGGGTCGCCATACATCCTCGTTTTCACGTACACGACTTGGCCGGGATTTCTAAATTGGCTGAAAAGTCCGGTTTTGGCTTTGTTTTCCTATCTTTTTCATGCTTGGTGATGGTAATGATTAAAAAGCAGTTTGACCAATAGCGTGCAGGTATTGCATATAATCAGTCTATTGTGGCGTGCGAGAAGGTGGAATCTACCTACAGTCAAACCACTATAAACACGCCTACGGTATGAGGTCTGCAATTTAAAAAAAAAAAAGAATTTGACATTTTTTAGGCAATTTGGAAATTCCCGGCCAAGTCAGGATTTTAGGTAGAGTCTAAATGTTTTATGACCCCAAATATGCTGTCTCAGAGTCACCACTAGATGGCGTGACTATTTCAAATCAGAGTCTGTATAACTAGCGATCTGCCATACATTTTATTCACAGGTGTATTGAAATGTTACATTATGCTCAAAACCTGGTAATGAAATGTAACTTTTTGATTATGTTGTCAGTCACTTCATTTAACTGTTGTCACGTTTGCTTACTGCTCCAAAGGTGGAGACCACATTATTCATTAGTTAGTGATAAGCTGATAACTGATAATAACTGATAATATGTGTTATTTGAAAACAAGTGAAAGTTTGTTATGGGTGGAGAAGATCTTTGTAATCATGACTAGATTAGAGTACATTGGACACACTAAATTACTCCTAAGTAAGAAGAATATATGATACATTCGAATAGAAATGAGTTGTATGGGTTTTGTGCAGTAACACGGGAAAGGGAGGGTCACTGTGCTCTTATAAAATGCACCTCCAAAGTATCCTATCATAAAATACATTCCCCTGTTCATTAGCTGGATTGATCATTCAGGTGGATTTTTTTTATCCAAATACTAAGGATGAATGTGCTCTGTTTTTTTGTACTTGCTATTTTATGCAGGTTTGCTTCAAGTGCAGGTAAGTGTGTTCAGTTGTGAAAATGTCATCTTATTTATCATAAAAACAGATTTACTGTTAAACCTGATGCTGCTGAATTTAAGTAGTCCATCAATATATCATTTTAGATGTTAATTTTAGGACTGTATATAAGACCTGCAAGAATTATACGTTTACGAAGTGCATCAAGATTTATGAGAATCTGATAATGAGAGTTGTTGATTTTTGATTTGTAATTAATACAACTTTGTTGCATAAAATAATACATGTGTGGATAAGCAGATTTAAAACACGGAATTAAATGCCTTTGAAGGTTTTAGATGAGCAGTTAAAATCTTCTTAACTGACTGACCTAAATATAGAAAACATGCATTGGTCATTGTCTGTTTTCATGTACATGTGCAATCAATTAAATGTGATTAATATATTACACTACATATAAATTAGTTTGCAATAAGTCAACTTGGTTTCCTTTCAGATTGGTGCTATCAGTCTCAAGTATCTTGCAACAATCATTCATGCATAGGTGAGCATGTGCCTTGTTCAGTGTTTTATATTGATTTTTTTATTGGTATCAAAATATCTGGCAACAGACAGGAGAACTGAGATGGAGAGAAGGAAATGGGAACTATAAGAATTTTAAATTCAAATAATAAAAACTTTTTTTTGTTCAAAACTTATTTTGAGAGGGAGACAACATCATAAAGACTTGTAAAAGCATAACCATTCATTCATTAATAAGCATACACATACCACCTGTACCTCTTTTCATTACAATCTATTAAAAGGACTATAGCTATCAGAATTTATATTTTGTTTTATTTAAGATTATTCATTGACAGAACAAGTTGGGCGATTTTTTTATTGGTATCAAAATATCTGGCAACAGACAGGAGAACTGAGATGGAGAGAAGGAAATGGGAACTATAAGAATTTTAAAATCAAATAATAAAAACTTTATTTTGAGAGGGAGACAACATCATAAAGACTTGTAAAAGCATAACCATTCATTCATTCATAAGCATACACATACCACCTGTACCTCTTTTCATTACAAACTATTAAAAGGACTATAGCTATCAGAATTTATATTTTGTTTTATTTTAATTTTTTTATATTGAAAAGAGAGTAACAAATACGTACCAAATAAAATAAATAGGCTTAATAGAAT